AGTTAGCAGGTTAATTTCACAAGTGACTTGATAATGTATGTTAAGTTGAAATTGGTATTGTTGTTTATGTTGTTCATATTGACATTGATGTTGTGCTTACATGTTATTTTTATTTCACAAGCTTACCATATGTTTTCATTGTGGTTACAACTACGATAATCATACTTGATATGAAAACATGTTAGGATTAGCTAGTGGCTTGTATGGTAGTGTAGGGTCATGCAGGAGATGATTGACCTTCTTTTGGTTGTTGCTCCGATGCAATGATCTTGTATAGATGCTTGAGAGGTACTTTAGGATATATTTTGTATATATCACTTACTCTTTGATGTATATAGTTTACATGTATAGGAATCTAGCATACTTTTCTTCTCCTTGCATGACTGTGTGCATGAGATTATATGATGGTCACATAATAAACTTAGGATAAATGTATTTGGTATAATTTTCGTTGCGTACTAATTGAACCATACTAAATGTATTGACATGCTGGGTCGTTATAGATTTCATATACTCTTAAGTAAAATATCTTTATATACAACCCTCTATGCATTTATATTTTCTCATTCAAATTACTAAATTTAAACAACATGTTCAAATTTATGATATTCATTAACTAATAAAATTGTCAAATATATTCTTAATATATGTTTAAGAAATTGATATTACAATATTAAATTTTATTGAAAATAAACATTTGTTAAATTTTAATAATTTAAAAAATCAACAATACATAATATTTAATAATTTAAAATTAAATAAATATTGATAAATTACACATCAATATTGATAGATTATAAATGTTGGTAAAATATATTGATAGATAAAAAAGATAGGAGAAAAATAAAGAGATTAAAAAGAAGAAACAAATAAAAGATTAACAGAAAGAGAAAGAGAATATAAGATAAAAAGGACACGAGAAGAGAAAAAGAGAGAGGGGGTAGAAAGAGAGAAAGAAGATAGAAGATCAGAGAGGGGGGGGGGGGTAAAAGAGAGAGAAGCAAAAATGGTGAAAGGGAAAAAAAGATAAATAAACAAGAAAAAAAAAAGTCATGTGAAATTTCAATGATTTTGGTGAGAGAAACATTGTTGAATGAATGAATTATATATAAATTCTACTAAAAAGTCTAGTAAAATTCATTTATCAAAATAATTCATTAAAATCTCTATATTTTTTAATATTAATAGACTCTTTTAAATTAAAAAAATAATTAAATATCATCAAATTTTGACATATTCCTAAAAAAATAATCATTATCTTAATTGAATATCACCAAATATATTATTAAAAAATCTTAATTATCTTAATTAAATATCACATTATCTTTATATTGAATAAAAGTCTTAATTGAATTTCACAATATTTTTTTATAATAATAAAATCTTTTAAAAATCTTTAAAATCTCAATCTAATATACCCCTAAAATATATTTACTTATAGAGTTTAAACAATGAAATTAATGAAATTATAGCGATAAAAAAAATATAATATATGATGTGAACTAATTTCTAGAGTTTATGAACTTTACATTTTAGTTTTAATTTATTCATGATTTTTTTAATTCCCACGTTTATGAACTTTATATTTTAATTTCTATAATAATACGCGATGTGAATTAAAATGGAACAAAAAATAATATGTATAAGAAATAAATTAAAATATTTTTAATTATAAAAATTAAAAGATAAAATTTATGAAATTATAGAGAAAAAAAGGATAATTAAATCTAGTCTTTGAGACTTTAGCCTCTATTATTAAAATAATAATAATTCTTTTTTTAGAAAAGAAATATTATTTCTCCTTAAATTAAAACTATTTATGTTTTCCTTCTTAAATTTAAAAATATCTGTACAAATACATTATATACTTACAGCTAAATATTTGATTTTTCAGTATTGAGTAAGAATATTTTATTCTTTTTCATCTGTATTTTATTAAATAAATCATTGTAATGTGTTTCTATTTGAACTCCTTTCACTTCTTAGGTTGGGAGAGGAGATGAAGTCTCCCACTATGAGAAAGTGAATATACCCTTAGATTTGATGAATTTAAAATTGATAGTTTAAATTATTTTATATTTTTTTTTCTTTTCTCCGTTTTATTCCCGAATTACCCTTGGTTCTGTTCTATCACCACCGTGAATCATCATCACTTTATTAAAACCACCTGAATTGACATGTAAGTGCAGGTTTGTATGCATCACTAACTTAATCGGTAAACATATTTATTTGTTTTATTTAATAAAAAGAAAAATGATCGATATCTTAAAAAATTGAAAATTTATGTATTTAATATAAAAAAAAACATCCATAAAATAAAATAAACATCATATTCACTTCATTCTCAGGACCAAAATCAGGAATGGGCAATCGATTATGTGTAATGTGTTAGATCCGCTTAGAGATTTTGCAAAGGATAACATGAGGTTGAGCTGAGCCTCGTTAATAATTACTTAGGCTCGTAAATCGTTGTCGCAAATCAATTGCGAAGGTGAAATCTTAATTCCAATTTTCCTTTTCTAATTGAATCTCTATGTTGTGGTTCCTGATTTTTTCCATGCATTTTTAATTTTAGACTTGTTCAAGATTATAGTGCGTACTAGAATTTATTTCGTCTTAGTTATTATTATTATTATTATTATTATTATTATTATTATTATTATTATTATTATTATTATTATTGAAATTCATTATAAATTGGTTTCCATGAAGATGGTTTTGTCGGGCAACCATGTGACCACCAGCCAAGGAAGTAAAACACGTTTTTTTTTTATTAGATTGACTAAATTATATATTTTTAACTTTATTTAATTTTAAGATTTAATTTTGTCTTATTATTTTAAAATAATTTAATTTGATTCTCTAATTTTTTTAAATTATTTAGTGTTATCATTCTATTCAACCTAATATTATTATAATATTAATGAAATCAAACAAAATGACAATATTAAATATTATTTAAAAATTTGAAGATTAAATTAAATGATTAAAAGAAATGTGGGATCAAATTGAACATTTTATAAATAGAAGGATTAAATTGAAAAAAATTTATCTAACATTTTTTATATAGATAAATTTGAGTTTTCTTTTACTTATAATAGTTTATTTTATTAGATGATTTATTTTATTAGATAATTCATTCATTTTGAAATCTTTTTAATTTCAAGTACTCAATTTGTTATCATTTATGATCTTGTTAAGATAAATAAAAAAAAAATTATTTAGACAAAAAATGTAAAATAATTTTTTATTTAATTTAATTTTACTATTTTTGAAATATTTAATTTTGTCTCATCTTTTTTAAAATATTCAATTTGATTATAAAATTTTAAAAATGTTAATATTATTTTTTATTTAATTTTTAAATATTTTTAATATCAATTTAGATAGAAAAGTAATATTGAATATATTTTAAAAATTAAATAATGAAATTAGATCTTTTAAAAATAGAAGGATTAAGTAAAATATTAAAAATAAATAGTGAGAATAAAAATATAATTTAACGTATTAAATTTGTTAATATACAGCTCCTATGAGAAACAGGTAATATACATGTGATGATGTGAACATGAAGAATATAATTTAAATAGTTTTTTCAATTCCAGAGAAACCTGACGGGAATACCGGTGGTCCAAAAAATTCCGTCAGAGTCTCAGAGAGCTTTTGGCCCACATGCTTGTGGCAATTGTTTTAAGCGCAAAAAAAATGGCATTTGTGGTGTTTGTGACCTGATTTCTATTTTATACAAAATTTATTGCTTTTGGACCGTCATACCAATAATATAATATAATATTAATGAGGATTAAGGATTATTTACTCTAATATAAGTGCTTGACTAATATAATTAGATATATAATGTACGGGTAAGGGCGTTCGGCCACCACCCGGTCGGCTG